AAACAGGTGCATCAAACGTGAGCCAAACTGCAACTCTAGTTTTGACTTCATACTTCAATGTTAACAATCTGGAAGCTTTGATAGGACTGAATATCAAACCATGGCTGGAAGGCATTGTGATCATTTTGAAAATGTTTTTTAATCAATTATATATTCTGTTTTACAAAATGCAGACATAAATCAGTACCACAGTCAATTCTACTTCAGAACATCAGTATAATTAAATTGTATTAACCTAATGGTACAACTTTCGTCACCTATAAAACGTAATATTTTTGTTTGATTGTAACAAGCCTGACATTGTATGTTTCATTGTGTGTCCTATTAGCAGTACATCCAAATTTAGTTAAAAGCCATTGAATTGACCTATTCAAGGCATGAGCAGGTGTTAATATTGTACCAACCTCTGTCAAAGGATGAATTTAATGGACAGCTGGTTCAGTTTTGTAAAGAATATGCCACCCAGAGGTCAGGTATTCAAGGTGGTTTCATCAGCAAAATTGTCCTTTGGTGTTCTTTAACAAAAGAGAGAAAGAAAATGAGACAATTTAAAGAATAAACAAATCCTTTTCTCTCTTGGCCGATATGCTATGGCTGAATAGCTGCCAAAAGAAAAGGATTAGAGGGAAAGAATGAGAGAAATGGGCTGCCGATGGAAAATGAAGAACCGAGGAGCTGATTATATTCTGTCGTGCTGCTGTTTTCGTAGCTGTTGGTACATTACAGTCTGTGTTTTTCTTTCTTTGTTTTTTTTATTTTCTTTCTGTCTTTATTTTATTCTTTTGAAACCCAATCACCATTACGGCCTTCCCCCTTTCTCACTGGCCTCCTCTCTCTGTTATGACAGCCAGACATATGGGGAGACTGATAGACATCTGCAGGAAAACAAAGGAAAGAGTGTGCTCCAGCGCTGCATAATGAAAATGGATTGTACATATTGTGTTATTGCTTCCTCAGTGAATAACCAGCAATGGTATGATAGCGTTCAGCGTGAATTACAGCTTTTTCTGGCTTGAATGGAACACTGTGTGTGTGTGTGTCTGTGTGTGTCTGTGTGTGTCCTCAATTGGGGGTGTGATATAAAGCATTGATGAGGATATATGAATTTAATTTAGTTTGAGAAATGAATGTAGCCTGATTTAGGCTTTTTGGCATGAACAAACTGACTGTAAATGTAACATTGTCAGTAGTGGCCAAGTGGCTGGACTGTGACTGGTTTTTGAAGAGTATTTAATTAAGACAGAATATTATGTGAACGTTTAATACAAGGACAGATATGTACTTTGGGAATTGAGACAGGCTGTGAGCAAAAGCAGTTGTTTGAGCTAATTCTGTTAGAACGACTTTATCACCCTTTCTGCGCTAATCTGTTTTATTCATTTTTGTTCATTATCTCAATTTTGTAAAATGAATAAAAGCAAATTTCAAGACTGCATGAGCAGAAAACATAGTAAACAAATTTCTGTTAAATCAGAAATCCTAATAGTTGGAACATATCCACTTTTTAAAAAATAAAAACACTTTTTATTGAAAACCTTGCTACAGTAAGAAACAAAGCATGTGAAGAGTTATTATTATATTATCATTTCAGGGGTACTGACAGTGGAAACCACAGTGTGTGACTGAGGCTGTTCTGAGCCTTTTCTAAATGTCACACTTCCCAACCTTTTAGCCCAAAGTCAGGAGGTTTTCACAGGTGGGGAGGAGTAAGGAGGATTTTGATAAATTAGGTGAATGTGTAAATGTGACTGTTGGAAGAAAAGTTGTGAGGATATGCAACAAACATAGTCGCACCAAACTCTGCCAGGCCTCCTTCAAGATGTTCCCTCCTTATCCTCCACTTTAATCTTTTTTCCCTCTCATGCACATATCCTCAGTGTAGTCCTCCTCATTTCCACACCACAGACAGCTAATCTTTGACATTCTGCTTTAAGAGAAGAGAATAGCACATATATATTTGAGACATACATGTATGCATACTTGACAAAACTGACCTGACTCACAGTTTACTTTTACATAATCTTTTAAATAATCTGAGGCTATGAAGAGAGAGTCACACAGTACAGTGTTACCCTCTTAGTATACTACATGCAAACCCTCATAGTGAGATCTCATAAGCATCTGTGTAAGTGTTTTGTCCAAACCCTTATAGGAAAATAGTTAATTAATGTAATAAGTGGCAACTGGTGGCCAGCACTGAGTTGTATGTTGACTACAGTGGGGCAGTTTGCCAAATTCTTGAGTTTTTAACACCTATCAAGTCTAAATAATGCTGTAAGAGCTTGCTTTTCATCTCTGAAATGTGATTGGTTCTCATTGTATATGCCTCTTTAACTATGAGAGTTCTCCATTATCTATAAAGATGGTGGTAGACATTGTATTGCTAATGGAAACTAATGAGGGGAACCACACTCCAGGCAGAGTGCACACTTGAAATCCCATCATGCTACTCCATAATGTGTTACAGGGCTTCAAACCGCAGATAGCGGCCAGTTTCTAAAATGTTTGGATGCAGGCAACATTGCCCACTTCTGGGTTGAAATGTAATGGGGACTTGTAAAACAACTAAATTGGATCATTTTAGTTGGGCCTTGGGTAGGTGGAAATTTCAACAATAGCTGAAACCTCTTGATACATAAAATAATATCAGAATACACAGGATAGTTGATTTTAATAAATGTAGAATTTATTTTGTTTTGGTTCTTATACAAATAGAGAAATGTGCCCGGATAACTAATATATTAAT